AATAAATACTAAATTGGGGTTTATTTTCAATTCTAAGTAAACAATTTCTTGACAGATGCATAAACAAATGGCATTGTTTTAAAAGAAAAATATAAAAACTGTTATTATAGTTACGTTTATTAACATTTATAATTAATAATAATATAATCGTTGCATGATTTCTTGAAACCAGTGTAATTAGATGGACACATCATCAAATTTTGTGGAACAATCGCCTTACAGTAAGAAAGTCGCTGGTTCGAGCTTCGGCTGGGCCAGCTGGCATTTCTGTGTGGAGTTTGGATCACAGTGTGTTGGCGTGGGTTTCCTCCGGGTGCTCCGGTTTTCCCCACAAGTCCAAACACATGCGCTATAAGGTAATTGAATAAACTAAACTAGCCATAGTGTATGAGTGTGAATAATGTGTATGGGTGTTTCCCAGTATTGGCTTGCAGCTGGAAGGGCATGCGCTGTTTAAAAAATATGCTGGATAAGTTGGCGGTTCATTCCGCTGTGGCGACCCCTGATGACTAAATGAATATTTTCAATTCTGTGTGAACAATCCCTTGAAAGATGCATAGACAAACACAAATATGCATGTTATTTTCAGTTATATTGTCCCTGTTTTAAAGAAAAGTCATGTAAAAATGGACTATTATGAATTTGCAAGTACTATTGCAATTATTTTCGTATTATTAATTTTAAGCACAATTAAACGTACACATAAGATTAAAAATGAAAATTGCTGTTATACAATAGCTTGCCGAGTTAACCTAATTAACCTAGTTAAGCCTTTAAATGTCGCTTTAAGCTGAACACTAGTATCTTGAACAATATCTAGTCTAATATTATTTACTGTCATCATGACAAAGATAAAAGAGTTATTATAGATGAGTTATTAAAACTACACTCTTAAAAGAAACTGTTCTATATAGAACCAAAAATGGTTCTATCAAGCGCTTCATATATGGAACCCCAAAAAGGTTCTAAATAGAACCATTTTAAGGGTTCATTAAATAGAACCCCAAATGGTTCTTTGAATTCAAGTTACATGGTTCTATTTAGAACCATTTGAGGGTTCTTTATTTATTATTGAATTAATGTTATTTATTATTGAATAAAAAATGAAACCAATGCAGAAAATTCTAATTGTTTAAATTTAAACAATAATATTTCTAATTTAAATAATATTTCAAATTGCACCTCTGCGTACTTTGTATAAGATCTACCTCTAACATTTTACATTTTATTATTTAATTAGTAAACATAATTAACAGCTTAATGACATTCAACAATATAATTCTAATGATTTCACTTTTTAATAAACATTTGTAAGCTTGTGTATATATATATAAATTATAATTTATATAATTTATTATAATAATTAATTAATTTTTTTAATGTACTAACATACCTGAATGATGAAGCTGAAATAGTGGACTTCTCCTTTCGAAAAATTAACCGTCAGACTTGAGGGTCTTCAACACCAGTCCATGACGATGTCCTTGTCAATGGCGTCACCAGAGGGCTTTTTTTATGATTATTAGTTTAAAATAAATCATTAAACCATAAAAAAATGTTACTGCACAGTCTAAATAAATTGGTTATTTTATTTATTTCACAAAATAATTTGTCAAAAATGTTAAACATTGAGTATATATAAACTAAGCCTATAAGTTATATGCTAATGTTCGAACCTGCATGAAAAAAATCCCATCATACTGTACACTGATTAAGTTTTTGACCATAACATTCATTTTATTAGGTTTTGACTCAAAAAGCTTTGTCTCTCTGTGTTATAGCTTATAATTATTGTATAATCTTTACTACATAATTATGTTATGATTAAAAAATTATAGAACCATTTTAATCAAAAAGGTTCTTTGCACTCAAAGGGTTCTAAATTGAACCATTTTTTGAGTAAAAGGTTCTACTGGCCAACTATAGAACCCCAAGGTTCTATATAGAACCTCAAGAAACCTTTTTTTAAAGAGTGTATTAGGTTTAGAAATGGTAAACAGAAATTTGGGGGAAAATATACAGGGGGGCGAATAATTCAGGAGGGCTAATGATTTTGACTTCAACTGTATTGATTTATTTAGGGATTCCAGCTGAATCCTTCAATCTGTGTGTGCTAAATTATCCATGAGACCTCTTAGAAGGTTACAGTTCCTTCTGATTTCTGCATCGGCTCTGTCTCAAACAGTTCAACTGCTGCTCAGATATCAGCCACTTCATCCGATGGGATCCAACAGTGTCCAGCAGAAGCCATACAATACATGCACATACTGTAACTAATCAGCAAATCCCCCCGGACTTTCCAGAAGGGTCAGTTTTATACACACTGTCTGTGGCGTTCAGGATAGGATATATGCACAGCTAGTGTTTTTTCCCCTACTGATAAACGTCCGGTGAAAGGTTAATGTGACTATTTTCAATTTCAGTCAGTTCCTTTTACAGCGTCAATGTTGTAATGTGATTAAAATATAATCAGCTAAATAGACTTAAGCATTCATTTAGTTGTTCAAGCGTAAAATGAGATGAAAAGCCATTTAAATGCAAGCACCGTCAGGAGCAGCAGGCGATTACTCCAACTCCATTGAAAATACTGTGGCAAAATAAATGTTCCTGTTTTAAAGACACGATGCAGAGCAATGTCATTTAATGCAAGTCTTCCTGCATAGTCTGAGACCCACTTTATATTGTATAGCAATCAGGCACTGAAGATTGTTGATTTTCTTAAAGAAACAGACCTTAAAAGTTTCACTAGTCATGTCAAAGCAGTAAGTAAATCAGCATACTATTGTAACTTAGGCCAGCTAGTGTGTGCTGTGCAGGTAAACCTCACTCCGCTGACCTCTAAAGGTGCTCTAGCGACAGATGCTAGAGGCCATGGTCTTCAGCCTTCTTGTTAGAGCAACCGACTCCCATGCGGAAGGTCGCCGGTTCGATACCAGCTCAGAGGGGGTTGGGTGGTGTAGAACCGGTGGGGTTACATTGGTGCCATGACCCGGATGGGAGTAAGGTTTACGAGGGTAAGTGTAGCCAGCTAGTGAAGTGCTGTGCAGGTAAACGTCTCTCCGCTGACCTTTAAAGGTGCTCTAGCTACAGACGTTAGAGGCCATGGTCTTTAGTCTTCTTGGTAGAGCAACCGACTCCCATGCAGAAGGTCGCCGGGTAGATCCCACATTGGAGCGGGTTGGGTGGTGTAGGACCGGCGGGGTTACACTATCATCTCAAAAACATTGCAGGAATCAGATGCTTTGTTTCCAGTGAAGACTTAGAGAAACTTGTTCAGGCTTTTATCAGCAGCAGGGTGGATTACTGTAACAGCCTCCTCACAGGCCTTCCCAATAACAACTCATCCAGAACGCTACGGACAGGATTCTGACTAGCAGCAGGAAATCAGAGCACATCACTCCTGTTCTCAGGTCTCTACACTGGCTCCCAGTTACATTCAAAATAGAGTTTAAAGTATTATTACTGGTCTATAAATCACTAAATGGCCTAGGACCTCAATACATTACAGATATGCTCACTGAGTACAAATCACTCAGATCTTTAGGATCAAATAAACTAGAAATTCCAAGAGTTCAGTCAAAGCAGGGAGAATCAGCTTTCAGCCACTATGCCCCCCGCTGCAGGAATCAGCTTCCAGAAATGATCAGACGTGCTCCAACATTAGGCGTGTTCAAAACAAGACTGAAAACACATCTGTTTAGCTGTGCCTTTACTGAATGAGCACTGTGCTGCGTCCGACAGCTCACACTACTATGTTTTTTTTTTCTGTTTCATCATCTTATAACCTATTTTAACACATTTTATCTGTTTTGTCTTTTTTTATTCTTAATTTTATAATTCTTATTATTTGTTTTTATTTTCTTACACTTGTCTCTTTTATTCTTGTTTATGTAAAGCACTTTGAATTGCCACTGTGTTTGAAATGTGCTATATAAAGAAACTTGCCTTGCCTAAATTTTGTAATGTCATGCAGTTCACTGGATGTGCTTGCACTGGGTTGCTGAAAACTAAAAGTCCTTTTGCATATACCCTGTTGGCTCTTGTGTTCATCCACTAATTGCCTTTTCTCCCAAAAGCCAGTAGATAAACAGATGTGGCGCAGGAGTCTGAAGAAGACTCTTAATCCAGTTTACCCAGTCAACGCCGCTGTGGGAAAAACAATATTTCTCATGTGCATGGGCACAGAGAGGCCCGATGAGGGGGGCGTCTATAACAAACTCGCACCCCCATTCATTTTTATTCATCGCCGCTATTTGTCCAGGCTGAATGCAACACGGGGTGAAGGGTCAGCTTAAACCCAAGGCTATTCACTCTGCCCAATGCATCTTAAGGGGCCCTGGCCACGGATTGTAAGTCTTGTAAAGATGTGCTTTCAGGAGTGGTTCAGTTCTGATCGTGCCGGACACATTGATTTGGCATGGAGCCATAATAAAAGTGCAGTTTTCGGATGCTAGTTTGTTGTGGAGTATAGCAGACGTGTGCATTGTGGCATATGATGAGCTTTAGGCTTATATTTGTGATGACAAAACCAGTCTCATAGCCGGGGCCAGACAGAATCTGTGGACTTTTTTGCAATTTTTGCACAGAATAAAAAAAAATACAAATTGTAAATTTATACAGAATGATTTAAAGAGTGTAGAGTGTTATACATAAAATAAAATAAAAAATATTTACAATTCAAATTATTGATTATTGTCACTTGATTGATAAATAAAGCTTCAACAGGTCTTTCAAATAGTCCTTTACGAACTGTACTGTACATACATTATCTAAACATTTGCAAATTATTCAATATCGCTACTGAAATTAAAGTACAGATTATGTTTCATGAAACCCTATTTTTCATTAGCACTTCATTTAGCCAGCTTTTAATGTGATTTTCTCAATATATAGATTCAAATAGTTGTTTCTCAGTCAAATACTGTCTTGTCCTTACAAACCATCCAATAATGGAAGCTGTTTGTTTTTATTGTTATTTATTTGTATTTGTCTTCCTTTAGGCCCAACGTTTGTGGCAGCAGGTGTTGTCATTCATGGCTTGTCAACCCCAAGACAAAACAGTGCACAAAACGTAAGTATCCCTTATCTCTTGTTTTTCTACTAGTCCATTTCATATGGTTGTATGCATTTCTGTTCATAGACAGAGACACGTGTGAAGCTAGCTGTGTCCAATCAATCAATCTGATCAATCAATCAATCAATCAATCAATCAATCAATCAATCAATCAATCAATCAATCAATCAAACAATCAAGCCAAACAAGCTTTAAATAAACCAACCATTGAACCAATCAATCAACCAATCAAGCAACCAACCAACTAGTAAATCGACCAACCAACCAGTCAACCCACCAACCAACCAGTAAATCGACCAACCAACCAACCAACTGGTCAACCAACTGGTCAACCAACCTGTAAATCAACCAACTAACCATCCAGCCAACCAACCAACCAACCAACTAACCAATCAAGCAACCAACCAACTAACCATCCATCCAATCAAGCATGCAACCAATCAAGTATGCAACCAATCAAGTAAGCAACCTACCAACCAACCAAACCACCAACCAACCAACCATCCAACCAATAAAGCAATCAAGCAACCAACCAACTAGTAAATCGACCAACCAACCAACCAACCAACCGGTCAACCAACCTGTAAATCAACCAACTAACCATCC